TGGTGTTAGCCCTGCCATGATCTGCTCCATCCCAGATCTTATTAGCAGAGTTATGACTGAAACCATTTTTGGATGATGCTTTACACTGTTATTTGGGATCCACAATTAGTCCAAATTAAAGCTGCACTAACTGACTTTATTTTTGGATTAATTACTAAAATGCTATCCATGTCCGTGTAGGGCATTGGGATATACGTCCTTTTGACGAAAAAGTAGCGCAGATTTGTGCTGGCGTGACATTATATTTTAGATCGAGTTTTGATGAAACAAGGAAGAGAATGTGTTTCGGGTCGCAGATTGTGACCAATCACAGCGCACCACTAGCCCCCACTTTTGTGAGAAATCTACAGGTCCGTTAGCATAGACGGCTGAGTTAGCACAACAAGACGAGGAGCTAACCTGAAGCTTCGTGTCTTCGTCACCGGTTACTGCTTACTCAGCGAGACAGCCATCCAAAAGAAAGTCTCGTTCCTCCGCGCTTCCCGGTTCTATCATTCTATGGTCACGCCATCCACGTGCAAATCCATGTCCATGTATTATCCATATTGGGAGACACTAGCTCCGTCCCAACAGTGGGTGTGTGTGGGGGCGATAGCTTCGTGGGTGCGGGGAGGGGAGCAGAAAGAGAGGCCAGCGAGTCCACGGCTTCAAAATCTCAAAGTCAGTTAGTGCAGCTTTAAGCCGAATTGTAAAGACTGAAATTATTTCAGTTATTTACAAATAAAAAAAGATAAACAAACAAATTTGATTTTTAAGATTTGTGAGTCAAGTAAGTAGTAGTAATGTTTATTTATATAGCGCCTTTCACAGACCAGAGTCACAAAGCAGTTTACAAGTGTTATTTTTTTGAGCATTTGTCTCTCGCTCCACACAGAGATGGGAGGGGCCAGTACAGGAGGCGCATGCCAGAACTATTGTACATGTTTTTAGAGGTAGGGGAAACCGGAGTACCCGGAGGAAACCTACGCAGACACGGGGAGAACATGCAAACTCTAATCAGAAAGGCCCTGGTCCGACTGGGATTTGAACCCAGAAAAGAGACTAATCTTTTTCATCATTTGAATAAACCACTTACATCTGAAGGGCTGTAATACTTGTAACATACAAACATTTAAGGGTTTCATGATTTTTGATCTTTAATAATTCTTCATCTTCTATAACCGAATTATAAATGTGAAGGGTTTGATAAGGGGCTAAAGCCTTTACCTGAACATCATTGTATCAAATTGAATGTACAATGTATCAAGAAAACCTTTGAAACTCACTCAACCTTTCCTCAGTCGGATGTGCAGAATATGTTTCCTGTGTATAATAATAATAATAATGATAATGATAATAATAATAATAATAATACTAATAATAATAACAATAAAATAATAATAATAATAATAATAATAATGGTAATAGTAACAATAATAATAATGTGTATAATATGTTTCATTTAACTGAGATGGAATGGAAGGTGAAAAGGCAGTATTAGTTTGACACATGGAGCTGTGATGGCGTCCACAGTGACAGGTGCACATAGACCCCCCCCCCCCTCCTGCTCCTCCTCTTCCTCCTCCTGCTCCTCCTCCTCCGAGGGCTTTAAATACCCCACACCAGAGATTGACGCCCTGATTTTGGCTCAATGACACAAGAGCCACAGTGTGGAACCACAACAGCCAGAGGTGAAGTCATTAAGAAATCGCACTTGGAACTTATTTACATTCAGCCAAGGTTTATAAAGAGGGCGTGTACATGTTGTTGTGGAACACTGCTTTTGTATTGGCTAGTAAGTAAATGTTATGAGTCAAAAAGGAAATACTGCTGAAGTTGATTGAGCAAACAGAAAATATAATGATACATTTGGATGATTGGTATTATTGTAATATAAAGCTTTTCTGGACATGGGGTAAGCTACGGCTGTGGCCACAGTTGCCCATGGGAAAAATGACAGAATATGGCAACTAATCTGTGCCATCGGCCCTCTGACCACCGCAAACCATTCACGCACACACCAGATTCACACTAAGACATTTGGGTGAAGTGTCTTGCCTACAGACACAATGTCAGTCAAGCTCTTTACATCTGCAGCTTCCCACTGTATCACCTGGTGTTACCAGAGGTCTCCCATCACCATCCTAACCAGGCCCTGCCCTGCTTAACAGCACAAATCTGACAACGTTAGGCTTGCACACGCAGGTATGCTCACAACTAACAAATTCACTTTCCCCCAGAAACCTTAACTTTTAAATATAATTATAACATTGTACTGTTATTTTACAAAAGCACATGGTTTCTGCGAGACCAGAGACCATCTGTGAGAAAGAACAGTTCCACATCTGTCATCTGCAGGAAGAACTATTTTATAGATAAAGGATCTACCCTCATGTGAGACTGTGAGGACACAGAGCTGTAGTGGAAGACTAATCTATGAAATGTTGCTTCTCAAATCTAATTATATTTTACTGCATCATTCAAAACAGAAAACCGTTTGAAAAACTTTTTCAAATGCATGTTTGAAGCATCTGAGGGGAATGAACCAATCACTGCACACGAACCCAGCATCTGAGGGGAATGAACCAATCACTGCACACGAACCCAGCATCTGAGGGGAATGAACCAATCACTGCACACGAACCCAGCATCTGAGGGGAATGAACCAATCACTGCACACGAACCCAGCATCTGAGGGGAATGAACCAATCACTGCACACGAACCCAGCATCTGAGGGGAATGAACCAATCACTGCACACAAACCCAGCATCTGAGGGTAATGAACCAATCACTGCACACGAACCCAGCATCTGAGGGTAATGAACCAATCACTGCACACGAACCCAGCATCTGAGGGGAATGAACCAATCACTGCACACGAACCCAGCATCTGAGGGGAATGAACCAATCACTGCACACGAACCCAGCATCTGAGGGGAATGAACCAATCACTGCACACAAACCCAGCATCTGAGGGGAATGAACCAATCACTGCACACGAACCCAGCATCTGAGGGGAATGAACCAATCACTGCACACGAACCCAGTATCTGAGGGGAATGAACCAATCACTGCACACGAACCCAGCATCTGAGGGTAATGAACCAATCACTGCACACGAACCCAGCATCTGAGGGGAATGAACCAATCACTGCACACGAACCCAGCATCTGAGGGGAATGAACCAATCACTGCACACGAACCCAGCATTTGAGGGTAATGAACCAATCACTGCACACGAACCCAGCATCTGAGGGTAATGAACCAATCACTGCACACGAACCCAGCATCTGAGGGGAATGAACCAATCACTGCACACAAACCCAGCATCTGAGGGGAATGAACCAATCACTGCACACGAACCCAGCATCTGAGGGTAATGAACCAATCACTGCACACGAACCCAGCATCTGAGGGGAATGAACCAATCACTGCACACGAACCCAGCATCTGAGGGTAATGAACCAATCACTGCACACGAACCCAGCATCTGAGGGGAATGAACCAATCACTGCACACGAACCCAGCATCTGAGGGGAATGAACCAATCACTGCACACGAACCCAGCATCTGAGGGTAATGAACCAATCACTGCACACGAACCCAGCATCTGAGGGGAATGAACCAATCACTGCACACGAACCCAGCATCTGAGGGGAATGAACCAATCACTGCACACGAACCCAGCATCTGAGGGGAATGAACCAATCACTGCACACGAACCCAGCATCTGAGGGGAATGAACCAATCACTGCACACGAACCCAGCATCTGAGGGGAATGAACCAATCACTGCACACGAACCCAGCAGGAGAAAGAGCAGCATTGTGGACCATGGTATTTTGGTTTTCACTTGTTTAAAACATCAAAATCAATCACACGTGTTTTGACTTGTAATATCTGGACTTTATCTAATAAATGATTGTATAAAAGTCTGGACAGAAAGATCCCGAGCATCGACATCACGTCGGTCTAAAACTTGTAAATTGCTTTGGCTTAAAACAATGAGCTTGTTTAACACCGCTGCACACCGGTCCATCCATCAACATCAAGTCTCTTTAGATCGTGTGGATTAAGCGCCGGCCCAGGGCCAGTCGGGGCCACAGACCTGGTTCAGCCGCAGCCTGGATTTGCCGGAGTGTTTTCTGGATAAAGGGTTTTGTAAACAGAGCGGTGAGGAGAGTGCCAGATGCCCCGAGCTCTCGTGTGGTCACAGAGCATTTCACACAGACAGGTGCACGCGCCTTTAGCACTTTAATGGGCCTTTCACATGATGTCATAAGAGCAGGGCTTTAAAACGGAGGTGACAGGCATTTGGGAATTCTAGTGTAATGCCACGTTCACACGGGGAAGATTCCCAGAAGGCGGAGCTGGTGATTTGGTTTTAGGCTCCAATGACACAAAGAACTGCAGCGAGTAAAGGGACACTTTGGGATCGATCCCTGTAAATCTGGCGATTGTCCTGGAAAATCACAATTATAATGAAGTTAAAGAGGACAGGGCCTGGTTAGTGCTGTGATGGGAGCCACAGTGGGACGCTGAGGCCGTGATGGGAGCCACAGTGGGACGCTGAGGCTGTGATGGGAGCCACAGTGGGACGCTGAGGCCGTGATGGGAGCCACAGTGGGACGCTGAGGCCGTGATGGGAGCCACAGTGGGACGCTGAGGCTGTGATGGGAGCTACAGTGGGACGCTGAGGCCGTGATGGGAGCCAGAGTGGGACGCTGAGGCTGTGATGGGAGCTACAGTGGGACGCTGAGGCCGTGATGGGAGCTACAGTGGGACGCTGAGGCTGTGATGGGAGCCACAGTGGGACGCTGAGGCTGTGATGGGAGCTACAGTGGGACGCTGAGGCTGTGATGGGAGCCACAGTGGGACGCTGAGGCCGTGATGGGAGCTACAGTGGGACGCTGAGGCCGTGATGGGAGCCACAGTGGGACGCTGAGGCCGTGATGGGAGCCACAGTGGGACGCTGAGGCCGTGATGGGAGCTACAGTGGGACGCTGAGGCTGTGATGGGAGCTACAGTGGGACGCTGAGGTTGTGATGGGAGCTACAGTGGGACGCTGAGGCCGTGATGGGAGCCACAGTGGGACGCTGAGGCCGTGATGGGAGCCACAGTGGGACGCTGAGGCCGTGATGGGAGCCACAGTGGGACGCTGAGGCCGTGATGGGAGCCACAGTGGGAAGCTGAGGCCGTGATGGGAGCCACAGTGGGACGCTGAGGCCGTGATGGGAGCTACAGTGGGACGCTGAGGTTGTGATGGGAGCCACAGTGGGACGCTGAGGCCGTGATGGGAGCCACAGTGGGACGCTGAGGCTGTGATGGGAGCCACAGTGGGACGCTGAGGCTGTGATGGGAGCCACAGTGGGACGCTGAGGCCGTGATGGGAGCCACAGTGGGACGCTGAGGCCGTGATGGGAGCCACAGTGGGACGCTGAGGCCGTGATGGGAGCTACAGTGGGACGCTGAGGCTGTGATGGGAGCCACAGTGGGACGCTGAGGCTGTGATGGGAGCCACAGTGAGACGCTGAGGCTGTGATGGGAGCTACAGTGGGACGCTGAGGCCGTGATGGGAGCCACAGTGGGACGCTGAGGCCGTGATGGGAGCTACAGTGGGACGCTGAGGCTGTGATGGGAGCTACAGTGGGACGCTGAGGCCGTGATGGGAGCCACAGTGGGACGCTGAGGCCGTGATGGGAGCTACAGTGGGACGCTGAGGCCGTGATGGGAGCCACAGTGGGACGCTGAGGCCGTGATGGGAGCTACAGTGGGACGCTGAGGCTGTGATGGGAGCCACAGTGGGACGCTGAGGCCGTGATGGGAGCTACAGTGGGACGCTGAGGCCGTGATGGGAGCCACAGTGGGACGCTGAGGCTGTGATGGGAGCCACAGTGGGACGCTGAGGCTGTGATGGGAGCCACAGTGGGACGCTGAGGCCGTGATGGGAGCTACAGTGGGACGCTGAGGCCGTGATGGGAGCCACAGTGGGACGCTGAGGCCGTGATGGGAGCCACAGTGGGACGCTGAGGCCGTGATGGGAGCCACAGTGGGACGCTGAGGCCGTGATGGGAGCCACAGTGGGACGCTGAGGCCGTGATGGGAGCTACAGTGGGACGCTGAGGCTGTGATGGGAGCTACAGTGGGACGCTGAGGCTGTGATGGGAGCCACAGTGGGACGCTGAGGCTGTGATGGGAGCTACAGTGGGACGCTGAGGCCGTGATGGGAGCCACAGTGGGACGCTGAGGTTGTGATGGGAGCCACAGTGGGACGCTGAGGCTGTGATGGGAGCCACAGTGGGACGCTGAGGCCGTGATGGGAGCCAGAGTGGGACGCTGAGGCCGTGATGGGAGCCACAGTGGGACGCTGAGGCCGTGATGGGAGCCACAGTGGGACGCTGAGGCCGTGATGGGAGCTACAGTGGGACGCTGAGGCCGTGATGGGAGCTACAGTGGGACGCTGAGGCCGTGATGGGAGCCACAGTGGGACGCTGAGGCCGTGATGGGAGCCAGAGTGGGACGCTGAGGCCGTGATGGGAGCTACAGTGGGACGCTGAGGCTGTGATGGGAGCTACAGTGGGACGCTGAGGTTGTGATGGGAGCTACAGTGGGACGCTGAGGCTGTGATGGGAGCTACAGTGGGACGCTGAGGCCGTGATGGGAGCTACAGTGGGACGCTGAGGCTGTGATGGGAGCCACAGTGGGACGCTGAGGCCGTGATGGGAGCCACAGTGGGACGCTGAGGCTGTGATGGGAGCTACAGTGGGACGCTGAGGCTGTGATGGGAGCTACAGTGGGACGCTGAGGTTGTGATGGGAGCTACAGTGGGACGCTGAGGCCGTGATGGGAGCTACAGTGGGACGCTGAGGCTGTGATGGGAGCCACAGTGGGACGCTGAGGCTGTGATGGGAGCCACAGTGGGACGCTGAGGCCGTGATGGGAGCCAGAGTGAGACGCTGAGGCTGTGATGGGAGCTACAGTGGGACGCTGAGGTTGTGAGGGGAGCCACAGTGGGACGCTGAGGCCGTGATGGGAGCCACAGTGGGACGCTGAGGCTGTGATGGGAGCCACAGTGGGACGCTGAGGCTGTGAGGGGAGCTACAGTGGGACGCTGAGGCCGTGATGGGAGCTACAGTGGGACGCTGAGGCCGTGATGGGAGCCACAGTGGGACGCTGAGGCCGTGATGGGAGCCACAGTGAGACGCTGAGGCTGTGATGGGAGCTACAGTGGGACGCTGAGGCTGTGATGGGAGCTACAGTGGGACGCTGAGGCTGTGATGGGAGCCACAGTGGGACGCTGAGGCTGTGATGGGAGCCACAGTGAGACGCTGAGGCTGTGATGGGAGCTACAGTGGGACGCTGAGGCCGTGATGGGAGCTACAGTGGGACGCTGAGGCTGTGATGGGAGCTACAGTGGGACGCTGAGGCTGTGATGGGAGCTACAGTGGGACGCTGAGGCCGTGATGGGAGCCACAGTGGGACGCTGAGGCTGTGATGGGAGCCACAGTGGGACGCTGAGGCTGTGATGGGAGCTACAGTGGGACGCTGAGGCTGTGATGGGAGCTACAGTGGGACGCTGAGGTTGTGATGGGAGCCACAGTGGGACGCTGAGGCCGTGATGGGAGCCACAGTGAGACGCTGAGGCCGTGATGGGAGCCACAGTGGGACGCTGAGGCTGTGATGGGAGCCACAGTGAGACGCTGAGGCTGTGATGGGAGCTACAGTGGGACGCTGAGGCTGTGATGGGAGCTACAGTGGGACGCTGAGGCTGTGATGGGAGCTACAGTGGGACGCTGAGGCCGTGATGGGAGCCACAGTGGGACGCTGAGGCTGTGATGGGAGCTACAGTGGGACGCTGAGGCCGTGATGGGAGCCAGAGTGGGACACTGAGGCTGTGATGGGAGCTACAGTGGGACGCTGAGGTTGTGATGGGAGCCACAGTGGGACGCTGAGGTTGTGATGGGAGCCACAGTGGGACGCTGAGGCCGTGATGGGAGCCACAGTGGGACGCTGAGGCCGTGATGGGAGCTACAGTGGGACGCTGAGGTTGTGATGGGAGCCACAGTGGGACGCTGAGGCCGTGATGGGAGCCACAGTGGGACGCTGAGGCTGTGATGGGAGCTACAGTGGGACGCTGAGGCCGTGATGGGAGCCACAGTGGGACGCTGAGGTTGTGATGGGAGCCACAGTGGGACGCTGAGGCCGTGATGGGAGCTACAGTGGGACGCTGAGGCTGTGATGGGAGCCACAGTGGGACGCTGAGGTTGTGATGGGAGCCACAGTGGGACGCTGAGGCCGTGATGGGAGCTACAGTGGGACGCTGAGGCTGTGATGGGAGCCACAGTGGGACGCTGAGGCCGTGATGGGAGCTACAGTGGGACGCTGAGGCTGTGATGGGAGCTACAGTGGGACGCTGAGGTTGTGATGGGAGCTACAGTGGGACGCTGAGGCCGTGATGGGAGCTACAGTGGGACGCTGAGGCTGTGATGGGAGCCACAGTGGGACGCTGAGGTTGTGATGGGAGCCACAGTGGGACGCTGAGGCCGTGATGGGAGCCAGAGTGGGACGCTGAGGTCGTGATGGGAGCTACAGTGGGACGCTGAGGCTGTGATGGGAGCTACAGTGGGACGCTGAGGCCGTGATGGGAGCTACAGTGGGACGCTGAGGCTGTGATGGGAGCTACAGTGGGACGCTGAGGTTGTGATGGGAGCCACAGTGGGACGCTGAGGCCGTGATGGGAGCCACAGTGGGACGCTGAGGCCGTGATGGGAGCTACAGTGGGACGCTGAGGCCGTGATGGGAGCCACAGTGGGACGCTGAGGCCGTGATGAGAGCCACAGTGGGACGCTGAGGCTGTGATGGGAACTACAGTGGGACGCTGAGGCTGTGATGGGAGCCACAGTGGGACGCTGAGGCCGTGATGGGAGCTACAGTGGGACGCTGAGGCCGTGATGGGAGCCAGAGTGGGACGCTGAGGCCGTGATGGGAGCCACAGTGGGACGCTGAGGCTGTGATGGGAGCCAGAGTGGGACGCTGAGGCCGTGATGGGAGCCACAGTGGGACGCTGAGGCCGTGATGGGAGCTACAGTGGGACGCTGAGGCCGTGATGGGAGCCACAGTGGGACGCTGAGGCCGTGATGGGAGCCAGAGTGGGACGCTGAGGCCGTGATGGGAGCCACAGTGGGACGCTGAGGCCGTGATGGGAGCTACAGTGGGACGCTGAGGCTGTGATGGGAGCCACAGTGGGACGCTGAGGCCGTGATGGGAGCCAGAGTGGGACGCTGAGGCCGTGATGGGAGCCACAGTGGGACGCTGAGGCTGTGATGGGAGCCACAGTGGGACGCTGAGGCTGTGATGGGAGCTACAGTGGGACGCTGAGGCCGTGATGGGAGCCAGAGTGGGACACTGAGGTCGTGAAGTGCCAAATGGTGTTGTGTCCTTCACCCACATTGGCATGATTCAGATTCAGAAAACTTCACTGGTCCCACAGCAATAACATGGAGAGTCAGTCCAGCAGTATGACACTGTATAAACTCTCTAAAAACAGACAAATGTGTTTTCTACCAATTTATATCGGTTATAGCGCAAAACTTTTCTGACTGAATTATTGGTCTCGTTGGCACACCACCATCATGTCATGTCATGTCATACAGTTTTCGCAGTGAAAACCTAATATTTCTAAATAAAATTAAGTTTATAGCACTGAAAGAAAAAAAACGGTCCCATGAGTGGGCTTGCATCTCCACAAACTTTGACTTGTGCTTGTTTCCATTTCTGTCTCCTTACATTATGGCATAAATCTGATCCACCTCCATGAATATTGTTCTAACATACACATGAAGACAGTTCCAGGGCTCACTTTCCAACCACAACATCCAAACTAATACAATCCATATCACTAAAACAGTTTGGTTCTTTTTATTTTTTATTTTTTTATTATTAGTTTATTTGATATGGACATATCAACTGCATTGGACAAACCAGATACATTGTTTCCAGTGTTATAGCAAAACTGCTAATTTGCAACACCTGTCCATAGGAGGCTACACATTTCAAAAAACACAATACAATACAGTACAATATTCAATGAGTTCTATCACTCATTTTCACGTTTTTGCCTCTGTCACATCTGTAGATTTGTAGATCACCCGCAACCAGTCTCAACCCAAAATATCAAAGTGACTCAGAGCTCCTTTGAACAGTTATGATAAAGATAAAGACAGTGTGTTTGGGTCTGATCTCATTCAGACTCTTTCTGTTGGAGAAAAAACATGTATGACTTATTAAAAAGTTAGGTTAAATGAGGTTGATGTAAAACAGCCTCTTTAACATCTGTTGCCATGGATACAGCAGGACATTAGTGAACTGTGTCTGGAGGCTTCATTTGCGGCGTTCCCGGTGGAGTTTGAGTGGACAGATGCTGAGCTGACAGAGCCATCCTTCTGTGCCATCATTAAACTGTATCCCACAATGCACCACGGCGCTAAACCTGGATGAACCCCTCCAGCTGTGAGGTGTGCCGGTGATCGATAGAGGACGTTTATAAAGAGATTAAGACCAAAAACAAGACATTAAGGCTTGGGCAACGACGAGGCTCTTAAACATGATCTTGAGAATATTTACTTTGATAAGTTGTGTTTTAGAATTAAATGTGAATAAATAATGTGTAAATTGATGGCCAGAATGCTCCAACTAGTGGTAGAAGTGGGAAATGACATGGTGATGTCTAATACATGGTGTGCCATTATTCTCTCCGGGGGGCCACATTAAGGAGGTCTGGACTAGAGTTTCGCTTTTCAGCCCGAGCCCGAGCAGGCCCGAGGCCCGACCTGAGTTTGGGCCGGGCTCGGGCCTCATTTGGCGCTCAGCTGTCGGGTTTGTGCCGGGCTCGGGCTTCTTTTTTTAAATATATGTTTCTTTTTTATTATTATTATAATTATTTTTAAATGATTTTTATACATAATGATATGCATATATATATATATATATATATATATATATATATATATATATATATATATATATATATATATATATATATATATATATATATATATATATATATATATATATATATATATATATATTAATAACAATGTCCGTTGATTGACAACAAGTTATTAAAAAAAGTGAATATATTAATGACACCGTAACCAGCGTGTCCTACAGCAGCAGCGAGCCGTGAACGCATCATCCCCGTGTCTCCTGCTGCTGTGGTCAACAGCGAACAGGAACAATAGTAGAAATGGATCAAGTGGAGACAAAACAAATTCAAAAGTGGAGACTAAACTTGCAATTGGAGGTGAGTGCGTACAACGGGAAATCAGATGTGTCGGGTTCTGTCGGGCTCGGGCCTGTTATACAGCGTTCATTGGTCGGGCTTATACGGGCTCGGGCTTAACATTAGCGGGTCGGGCTTCATTTTTCAGGCCCGAATGAAACTCTAGTCTGGACCCGTCATCATGTGGTTTACATTTGATTTAATTGGGAAAAACGTATTCTAATAAGAAAGCGTGAGCTGCTTCAGTTAAAATGTAAATCTATTAAAAAATAGATATATTTAAAAAGAAGGAAATGGAAACATGGCCAAGATATCCGGTGTTAGTGGAAAGTCTGTTTATAGCTCATCTCTGGCATCTGTGCCATGTTTTTATTCTAACTTTATTGAAATCTGCATACATCCAAGCCCATATTTGTTCAAATACGTTCTTGGATATTATATTTGGTCATTTCTTCTGGAAAAAGAATTTGTACAGTTTTGTAATGGACCAAACCAAAGGTAAAGCTGGTATTGTAGGCACAGATTGATATATTTTTCTTATTATGTGCTGAAATATGTTCTTATAAATCATGAGGTTGTTTTCTTGAGAAAAATAGCATTAAATTAGGTAGAACATGCCATTTTTGATTGTAACCTTAGTGATAAATGACACAAAAATATAATTGGACTACATTATTCTTATTATATTTCATAAAAAAGGAGGGTGGCAAGTAGGGGAAGGGAAGAGGAGGAATTATCCATAAATTCTGTTATTGCTCTGAATAAAAACCTAATGATAAACATTTTATCAAAACTAAAATGCAACTCGTGGTGTGATGTCATTACACAACTTCCCACTTTTACTTCCTGTCATTTTGATTATTTTCCACTTTTCTGCACAAACGCTGGTCTTTTCCAGCCCATAATGTCAACATTAGAAGATCGTACTCTTCCAGGACACATTACTGAGACATAAGTTAATGAATGAAACACTCAGGATGTAAACGGTTAAAGGTGTCAGTGTCATGAAGACATAAAGACCACTCACAATGCAATCTTCTCTCACTCCACGCGCCTTTAATTCTATTTCCAAGATGGCCGCTCGTAGGGGCCATCCATCATGTCCCGACGCCGCTCCGTATCACATGACGCATTTTTGGCCATTACCCCATAAACGGCTTCTACGGTCGCGAGCGGTGCATAAAAAATCACTTCAAACTCGATTATTAGGGGTTTCTTTTTCCTCGTAGACTTTGCTTTGTTTAAAGGAACAGACTGTAGTTTTGCATCATAGAGAACACAAATCTCACTGTATATGTCAATAAATATATGTCTTGTTATTTCCAATCAATACATAATGTTAATCTTTTGGATGTAACAGGTAAAAAGAAAAAGATTGCAGGATATTTTAAACATTTTGCAGCTATTTTGTAGACGAGCGGGAAAAATGTCTCTTTTGATAATAAAAGTGGGCGCCCCCTGATGGTGGGAGGGTGACACCGTGCGATCGAGGGCACGCGGTTGTAAAGAACCACGTTATACAATAGTGAAATTCACACTAGTTTGGTAACATTTATTTGGTCTGTGCTGATGTATGAGATAAAACAAGATACACTTTATCGTGCCAAGGGATATTTTCCGTAGGATCCAGCGCTACACAGAAAGTACAGTAGTGCTTCGAAGTCTCTGTTTGGTCAATTCTGCCTCAAATAGTAAATAGATAGGTCCTGGATAAGAAACAAGAAAATTAAAAAGTAAAACATAGTTTTAAAGTGCCTTCATTATTACTCACTGTTTACCAAGTGTGAGATTGAGAAATGAGTGTTTTTAATATAACTTTGCTTGTTTTTCTGACAACATGATCTGTACTTTTGAGTTTCCGGACTAGTTACTTGGCAGATGGTGCCACAGTGAAGTAATTAATTGCAATTAGCTGTGCTTCTAAGTTCAGAAAAATACCTGAAAAGGACATGATAAAAAATATGATTTGTAATATTATCATTTTAAATCACAAACCACATCTTCTATATGTGTCTTTTCTCGTTGTATCTCTTACATACTAAGAGGTGACAAAAAAAATGTATATATTTTCTTCTTATTGTCAAAAAGCTAATATGAAAATGTGACATAGGAATCCCACAAATACACAGTTTTGAGTGCATGGATATATGTATATTATCAGTTCTTCAGTACTTTTTTCCCCCTGCGTTGAACCACGTATGAATGGATTTGTCTTGCACTTTGCGTCTGATCCTGAAGTCTCTCTGCTGCGTGGCCTCCTCGTTCTGTGTCGTCCTAAAGCAGTTTATAGAAGGCTCCATATAAGGACTGCACTTCTGGAATAGAAACTGCCATTCGATCTTGGGCCGGCACTCTCACCTCTCCGCTTACGCCGGGCCGCCCTAGGCCACAAGACAAGCGCTCTGTGGACCAAACCCTGACCCTGCGGATAATCGCCAAGTCCAAATACAAGCAGTGTGTAAACTCCACACACAACACTAGATTTATATGATGAATTAGCATTGCTACACTCATGGCAATTGACACAAACTAAATCTGCTAATATGGGGATCTTCTCTGATGGTAATAACAGTGGGACACACAGAGAGGAATGGGTATGACCACTTTACAAAGATACATCTGAAACTATAGTTTATCACTGTGAGGTTGGAAAAGTAATACATCATGTTGTTGTCCTGTTTGTAATGTGTGTATTCACGTAGAACCACAAAATGATCTATTCTAAAATAGTAAGAACCAAGGAAATCACAAATTCTGATCTTATTTGTAGCTGAGAGCTGATTGGCTGAATGAAGTTGAAAGTTTCTGTTTGAAGAATCTAAAGACATGAAAGAGGCCAAAAATACAAATATGTGACAATGAGGAGCTAGTTATATGGATTTTATTAGTTGGACTCCGGCGTTAATTAGTTTAGCCAAAACATTTCAATCTTAATAACAGAGTAGAAAAAACTCTTTTCTAAGAGCAAAAAGGCACAGGCGTCTTCATCACTATTTACAGTTATCTGTGCAGCTATATTTACATTTAATGGTTTGCTCATCGTCACTGTCACCGGAGCTGAGGTCACATGGTTCAGAACAGTGGCGGGTGCCCAGATGCATTGTGGGACTCTTCAGATGAAGTT